TCTCTTTGAATTAATCATGGCTATATGGTTTTAGATCTCAAGTTTTATGATGTAGATCTAACAGTTTAAAGATTGAGGCTGGATTCATAACTACAAGTATGCTCAAAATGGTAGAATAGCGATTATTTGGGACGTTTATGTGGTGAATGTGACTCCTCTATATTGTATTGATCAGTTTATTTATTGCAAGGTTCAGGATGTGCGGAATGTTAGCGGTTTTGAGGTATCTATTGTGTATGCCTATAATTGTTCTATTCAAAGGAAAAGGCCGGTATCAGATCATGGGGTTTAATGTTCATGGATCTTGGATGTTGATGGGAGATTTCAATATTGTGCTCTCTCAAGAAGAAAAACTATTAAATCATGCAATGCAATTACCGATGAAACTGGAATTAGGGGTCTTGCTGATTTGATGGATAATCTTTGTTTAGTGCATATGGGAAGTATTGGTTTTTGGTTCACCTGAACTAACAAAACAAGATGCCCAAGATAGATTTTGCTCTCGCATAGATAACGTATTTATAAATGAGATGGATTCAAAATCTTGAGGCAAATCAAGTGGATTTCCTCTCTGCTACAATATGAGATCACTTTTCTAGAGTTGTTACTATTTTTCATGATACAATTGAGGGAAAGAAACCGTCTAGGCTCTTTTCTATGTGGACTACTCATAGGGATTTTCTATCTATTGTTGATGCTTGTTGGGGGAATGGGCTTAGTTGTTTTGAGATGGCTGTGTTTCGTGGCAAGTATAAGAGGGTTAAGGTGGCTTTGAAATCTTTCAATCAGTAATATTATGCTCATATTAGTCAACAGATTTAGATGAATAACATGGCCTTAGAGGAAGTACATAATTTTATTCAAGTTTCTCATGTTGTTGCTTTGCTCATTCAACATGAACTTGACAAGTACTGAGGAGAGTTTCTATAAGCAAAAGTCTATGCATGATTGGATTACTTAAGGGGGCACAAATTCTAGTTTTTATCATTCATATATGAGATACAGACGACATCATTCAAAGGTGCTTTGTCTGTATGATGATCGAATAGAAAGATTGTTGATATTGGGCTTATTGTGTAGGAAGTACTCAATTATTATCAACAGTTATTAGAAAAGGAAGTAGATGATTGGATTCTGATGTTACTAAGATGGCGCATGTGTTGAATGAGGAGCGAAGATTGAGTTTGTGTGCTTATGTTACTGATGCTGAGATTGAAGCAGCCTTGTGGTCCATACCCGAATCAAAAGCTTCAAGTCCTGATGGGTTTTCATTAGGATTCTATAAGAAGGCATGAGTAGTTGTTGGGAGGGCTTTAAATGAGCTATTATGCAGTTTTTCATCATTGGAAAACTTCACTCAAATACGAAGGCTGCAACTATGACACTTGTACCTAATGTCCCTAAGCTAACTAGAGTGGTAGATTTCTACCCTATTTCTTGTTGCAACAATTTATACTAAGTGATATCTCATATTCTCACTAATAGATTGTAGAGAATTTTACCATTATTGATTAGTGAATGCCATGTTGTTTTTGTGAAAGGATGATCAATAGTTAATAATATTCTGATGAGGTATGAATTGGTTAAGCACTATTTTAGAGAGGGAGTTTCTCCTAGATGGTTATTGAAAGTGGATACTTGGAAAACATATGATATAATTGATTAGAGATTCCTTAGGAGTATGCTTATTAATCTGAATTTTCCTGATAAATATATGGAGTGTGTTTTTACAACTACGTATTCTATACTGTTGAGTGAGGTTATGCATGGTTTCTTTGATGGTCAAAGAGGCTTAGAAAAGGAGACACTTTATCCCCTTGTTATTTGCATGTAATATTTGTCAAGAAGTATGAGTGAGCTAAAGAGAGAAAAAATAAATTCAAGTTTCATCCTAAATGTGCTGCTCTTGGATTCTCTCATTTAACTTTTATAGATGATCTTAATTGTAATGTTTGCCAAGGCTGATAGGAATCTCTGTTGTTACTAAAGATGAAGATTGTTCAATTCTCTACCATGTGTAGACTTACATTGGACCTTAACAAGAGGAATATGTTTATTGTAGGGGTTACTAAGAGGGTAAAATGTCGGTTGTTATATGCAATTAGTTTTGTTAAAGGGAAGTTGTCAGTTAAGTATCTATGGGTTCCTTTGTCAGATGTTAGAGTCTTTGATGGACGTTATTAGGAATTACTAAATAAGATTGAAGCAAAATTGAAAGTTGGAGGTACTTTCAAACTCTTACATTATTAGACAGAAATTTTGTGAGATCAGTTTTGTTTAGCATGCATGTTTATTGGACTAGAGTATATATGCTACCAGAGAAGAAAATCAAGCTTAATGTTAAAAATTGTTGCAAATTTATTTTGGGGTCTAGAGAGGGTAAACATAAATTTTATTTGGTATCTTGGGATAGCATGTGTATGGTGAATCTCAAGGTGGATTGGGACTTGTCAGATTAGAAACTACGGTCCGTATCTAAGATCAAGCTTTTATGGGCAATACATCTTCAAAAAAGATATGCTTTGGATTAAATGACTTCATAGTCATTATTTAAAGCAATGTTCTGTTTGGAGGGTGCAAGCTAAGGGGATTGGTTCACGGTTTGGGGAAGACTTATGAGGGTAAGGGATTAGCTTCTAATTAGATATCAATAACGTTTTGGGCATGCTTAGGAGTTTGCAGAAAGATGAAAATGTTAGCTTTTCTAATGCTTTTAGAAGTTTATTTCGCTCTTTACCTAAAAGTTCACCGGTATTAATATACAGATGGGAAAGTTTTTTCTATTTCTAAGTATATTTTTATACTTTGGTTAGCTGTTGCGGGGAGGCTGTTGAGTCAAGATAAGTTGGTTTATTTTGATTCTTTGAATACCAGTGAGTGTGCTCTTTGTAATCAAAGTCGAGAGGAAATTGGGCATTTATTCTTTTTATGTCCATTATCTATTATGATATGTTAACTCCGCTAGTGCTGTTTGTCAACACTGTTTGTCCCAAGCCAGGACAAAGGAGGAGGGTTGTGTTAGGTAACCGACAACCAGCGTAAAATATAGTCGGATCCACATGCATAATAAATCCTATTATATACTTGTTTGGGCATCCCCACCGCGACGCGTTGCATCGATCTTACCCCGATGCAATGATAAGTAAGCAAGAGTGGTTTGCTAGGTCATTCCCCAAAAGCGACGCATTACATCAATGTCATCCCGGTGTAATGACAAGTAAGCAAGGGAGTTCTAAGAATCTACAATCCTCTAATAGGGTACCTAATAGTATTAGACATATACTAGAACGGTCCAAGAGGATAAATGGTAGGAGACTTTTACAAGAAAATAGAATTAGATTAGCTACTTGGAATATAGATATACTTACCGAAAAGACAGTGGAATTAGTGGATGTCATGATTAGAAGAAACATAAATATAATTTGTTTACAAGAAACTAAATAGATAGGTAAAAAATCTACAGAAATTGAAAATATTGGATATAAACTTTGGTACATGGGAAAAGAGAAGAATAAGAATGGAGTGGGAGTTCTTGTAGATAATATAATAAAAGAAAGTGTTGTAGATGTAAAAAGAGTTGGAGATAGAATAATACTAATAAAAGTTGTGTTAGGTGTAGATGATATTAATATTATTAGTACTTTACGCACTACAAATAGGCTTGTCCGAGAGTACTAAAAGAAAATTTTGGTATAGATTAGACGAATTAGTACAATGAATCCCATTTAGAGAGAAATTACTTATATGAGGGGA